GAATTCATGTTCTCGTGGTTATCTACCATATGGCAAGCTTGAAAACTTAGCTAAAATTCCTCATTGCTTCCAAAAAATAGACAATTATTAGTACTTGACATTGTATAAAGTGCAGCTTATCCACCCTTAACAGCGATTCAGATACAGAAATAAATATCTATTCTCTATTCTCTCTATTGTACATTTCGTTTCTGCCTGTTTTAATAGCCTCAAAAATCGGAAATTAATTTTTCAATTTTTGGGCAATCTAGCCTAATTCTATTGTAAACGATATTCCATTAAGTATCTTAATTTCATCTAACTATTAAATAACCATTTTTGGACATATTATTAGGATGTTATTTCTTTTCTTTGTTATTTGTTTGTACAAATTGCTTGACGTAACGTATTTAATTTTAATTAAACCATCATCATTTAACATTCCCTTGAAATGTTTACGTCCAAATCAAATAAAACTGTAACCTGTAAGATCCCGACCCACCACAGCACACGTCCTTCTGCTGTTTGCGTTGCCTAAATGTTTTCCTAACGAATTAATTCACTTTTTGGACTTGCCTCTAATATTATTTAGCCACAAAGCTAAACTATTTGTGTAAAGTTAAAGCTCATTTCTGCTGCTCACAAAGCACGCAAAGTAGGAAGAACCCCAAAGGCAGTAGCTTGCAATTTAGGGAGTTCCCTCCAGCATAATTAACCCTACTTTATTGCCACTAATACAATTCAAATACTTTCGAGAGCTACAGTAACTGATTATAAGATGTTGTGTTAAGTGTTAATTTTAACCAGTCAGTGGCAATTGGCAAATAAATACAAGTATATCCTAAAAAACTGATACATCTGCGATAACTTTACACCTACGTCTCGCCAAATTGCAAGTTCCAGGTCTGACGTAAGATTCATACTTTTGAACCAATGGAGTTGAAATGGTACTTGTTAGTCGCATAAAATTAATTTGGGTTTTTGACAAAAATGTATGGTCTGTTCATAGATATAAGAAAGGGACCAATTGCTTTTGAATGGGATTATCCAAGGGTGGTCATTAATATACAATGCAACAAGATTATTACCTAAAGTTTCGGAATTTAAATTCAGGTAAAATTGTGGTCCGTGATAGAAAATAATTTTATACCTACCTGTGTATAATATTCTTTGGTTTGATATACTACTTGGTTTAAGTATATTAGTAATCATTCTTATTTCGTGTGTAATACAGCGTGTGTTGAATCGTGTGCGAATTATGCAAAATATGTGCGAGTCTAGTGTATCTCAGGAGATGCTCCCGCCCAAATGTAGAAAACACTATTCTATTGAGACTAAGGAAGTTATAAACAATGTCTATTTGACTCTCATTGAGCGTGGTGCCAGCAAGCAAGCATCTTTAGAAGAAACACATTGACGAAAATTCCAACATCAACTGTATGGAAAATTGTGAATAATCCCATTTCAGCGAGGAAAAAAAGAAGCGATGCTGACATTTTCTCGAGTGTAGATAAAAGTGATCAAGATATAATACGGCGTAAAATTTACCAGTTATACGAGGAACAAAGCGTGTCTTCTTTAGATATCTTAATTAGGAGGCTTGAAAAAGATGAAACCGGTGTTAAATGTGGTAGAACTACCTTATGGAAGTGTATTCAACACATGGGTTTTAGATCTAAAGAAATTGACAAAAGGCAAGTTCTAATGGAATCTTTTAGAATTCGGAAATGGTGACTGGAATATCTAGGATGAAACCTGCTGATTCGACACTTATGATACCCCGGTGGGTTGACTGATAAGTGTAAAACAAACGCACTATCAAAAAGAGGTAAAAGACTATTTTGCATGCTGACACCAAAGCAACAATCCAAAACTACATGTGTAATAACTATTTATTTTCACGAAGATTATACCAAAAAGCAATTAATTGAGGTTCTACAAAGCTTGAACCTACAAAATGAATACGTCTGTGATAATTATGCAAAAAATCTAGGGCATAGAGTTTTAAGGCTTCTACCTTACCACTGTATATTTAATCCCATTGAACATGTTTGGCACCAACTGAAATCTGCCATTCGTCGTAACAATGTTGTTCCCAGTGTTAAGTCCAATATCCTCAAATTCTGTTAAACATATAGAAAAAGTAGAACAATCGTAGATTGTTAATAATATAGAACAAATAATAATTAGAACAGGCGATGATAGCGATAGTGATACTGATATATTATGTGAATAATTCTAAGTAATTTAATTAGGTAATATAAATAATTTGTAATTTTATTTTAGATTTAAACATAAATACATACATAAATGAATAAATATTGTTTAGTATCTTTCCTAACAAGACCCCAAATAACTAAATTCTAAACAAAGTACGGACCTGTTCGGCCATATTTCATTCTTACAGCTTGCCCGAGTCTTTCCTTAATTCGTATCAGTCACTTTCTTATATCCATGAACAGCTGAGAAACCTCTGCCTGTCAGCAACAAAAATGACCGCATTGTTAAACTTTTTTAGAGACTGCAAATCTTGAATAGATTTTGAGAGCATATTTAACCATCTTAGCATAACGTATGAGGCGATTGTTTTACCCACGTTCAAGTTTCGTTTGATTTCTTCTTGAATATAAGATATTATATGATTTAATGATCCATTCTTAAACCCATAATACCTAAGTTTGGATAATAAGAACAATGGTCAGTCGTATCGAATGCTTTGGAGTAATCAAACAAAACAAGAACGCTCTCTCGACCCAGGAGAGTGGGTAATAATCGTTCCGTTATCCCTCAAATACATACAAAACGTACCTCAAAATTTTCGATTGAAGTTTAGGTTATACAGACGACGTCAGATTTTAAATGAAATTAGAGAGATGTTTTTAAAGATAACGTTTTCACAAATTAAAAGTTATTGCCGTATCTCCCTCATTTCTTCAATTTTCAATTTTGAAATAATTTTCTGATTTAAAAAAAAAATGCCACCATTTGTTCCATTGGTTTAATAGTTGGGGGCCTATGTCATTTCGTGATAAAATTTCTAGAAAAAGTCTACCTAGAGGTAGGTATTCACTGAAGCTATTAATAATTTTGTATAAGAACCTAATCCGTAATAAACAAGATCAAATTATTTCTAGACTATCACGAGTTTTCCAAAATTTTTAATAGCCTTCTTGGATTTTTGTTTTTCTTAAACGTCGTGGATTTATCTTATCTTCCAAAATGTTCCTTTAATTTTCACACAAAAATTGATACGAATTTTTATTATTCCGGTAGAAAAGTGCTGATTCTTGACACTTCGGCGGAGCCCACAAAATACTTTATAAATTTTGTCCATAATTTTGTTTCCGACGTTTTTTAACTAGCAATTTACGATTATTGCTCCTAGTCAACTGAACTATAATTCAATTTTTCAGAAATTACTGATTTTCATGATAGAATGTCATTTGGTAACATAGCTATAATACATTATATTTGAATATTTGAACTGGTGAAATGTTTAGGTCAAGTATAATTTTACTTACTAAAATGGAAATTGAAGGCGTCTACTAAACCATAAATTGCCATTTTCGAAGATCGATTTCTTCATCTTCAGTCCATCAGGGCGTCGATGTATAAAGTAAACTGATGATCACTAATCGAAGTTATAAATTGTTCTTCCCAGCTCCACTGCAGTGATGAACTCAACCTCCAAGAATACGGTTTTCTTTTTTTTGGGTTTCCTTGATGTTATTGATAATTTTAGATTATATGAATATGTCATCCATATGTCATCTATTTACTATTCACGGTGGCCCGTCATGAATTCGCTAAACACCAATTCTATGCCGTAGTAAAATGCTGCACATCAGTGTGTTAAGGTTCAGTTCTCGAAATTGTTATTATTAGTTGTTTTTTAAATATTTACATGTCGGTTTTTTGTATTTTCCCACATAATATGTATAGTAAGTTAGTTGCACTCTATAAGCTCGTATTTCACGTCATAGCTTTCCTACTAACACCACTCCTTACTATCTTTTTGACGATTATGATAGAGTAATGATTTCTAAGCGAAGAAAGGTATAAGTTTCCAAGATATTTTCATTTTTGAAGAGCAATATTTTACTCCAAGTCTCTGCCTGAAAAACGGTTCGTTGTAAATGGATTAGAAATTGACATTGGCGTTGATTTTTATTTATCTAAACGAAAGATCTTCTAAAGTTATCTTAAAAAGAAATAAAAAAATATCTTCAAGAGTATAAGTTCAAGATACTTGTAAACATCGGTTTTACAAATTTTACACACGGAAGTTCGCAAATTTCTAGATGAATAGTTGCCGTACTAGTAAATTTCCGTAGCCGTCATTTAGCTCGTCCTTGAGATTTCTTCTTCTGGGATTGTCTTAAACCTTTAGCGTATAGAGCAGAATTCCGAAAACGCCAGCAGTAAAACAATCAGAATTCAATCAGCACTGTTAGAAATAACCAATGTACCTTAATCTAAGTATGGCGGTACTTGATAAGGGCATCTTATACTAAATATTATTATTTGTTGGTAAACTGTCCGAGTTTTTGCGTTGAGGGTTTTTTTGATCTAAGTAAATGTATTGTATTCGTTCTTTACTTAAAAAACACCACTCAGGACTCAACAACTTCATTTGTAAAGAAATAAGAATTTCGAGAATCAAAATGTTGTAGTATAAAAGACATTGGGGCAAAGAACAGCATAACTATCGATTTTGGACATTTTTTTTTATTACCAGATCCTGAGCTAAATAATAATTTAATTTAGCTGACACAATAAAATTGCTTTTATAACATCCCAAAAACGTACGGATTGGACGAGATATTTTTAGTACCAGCCAATCTCAAGATTCTCTTAGACCAATCTCAAATCAAGAAGAAGGGATTGCACTTTGCTTCAATTAATAATAGTAAGTAATAAAAATTTAAAATTAAAACAACACATTTCGATAACTTGAGGACGGGTTATAAAGAAATCAATTTCCAGTATAGAAACAGTAATTATTATTCAGTAATCTCCCATATTCACTTTGCTTATATACTAGACGAACATGTAAACTTAATTTATGTACAAAATGTTAAAATGCATCAGTTAATATATGGTATTTTCACATTATGTACAGGAAGTCGTTGCCTTTAATCCATTGATATTGATATGTACACGGGTAAAATTTTTGTATATCCTTATAATAATCGGTAGACATTTCATGCACGGTACTTAACATACGTTGACACCGAGGGGTAAACCACTGGGGTATTTTACACATTCGATGGTATCGACGATGTGTATGGAATTTCAGTGAACATATTTTTTTCAGAGATTCACTCCTCGGTTGAAACTGATTTTGAAAATGTTACCTAACAAATAAAACAACATACTATCGGTAAGAATTCGCAGAAATCCCTTCCGCCTGAACAATTCCCAGTAAATGGTGTTGCGAAAACAAAACCGTCGATCCATCGATTTGCTCAAAGTATTTTGCAGTTTCGTAGCACAAGCTTGGTCCGCCATTTTTAATTTCGTAAACTTACGTATGAAAATTTGTGAGAAAGTTTAACGTTTTTTGGAAATAAAGCTGGGAAACGGTTTCTCAATATTTTCGAATTGATTTTACTGTTTTCGCAAAATCGACATCGAGACATTTGGAACCTTTGGAAATATAAACATTCACATTGTATAACTATTTAATCCGCCCCACCCCAAACTACACCCAAGGAAACATTAACTATTATTTATTATATTAGTCATATGAAATTGTCATTTTGCCCTAATTTTTTATTTTTTCGCTGCTAAAATAATTTATGAAAGGGTGAAAGTGTAAAAAACAGTTAATTTCTTGCACAGACTTAGATTATAAAAGAATTTATAGGGTGTGCTATTTCAAATACTCTTCAATGGTTTTGGCAAAAATGGTTAAAAGAAAATGGTTATCGAAATGTATTGTATTTATCGAAAACTTATTTATTAGCAGATAATGTCTGAAACGTTCAAAATTGGTGGCTTATTAATAAGAAAATCTGAACAAAATTGAATTATTTTTTGTGCTGAGCTCTGTGCTTAAAAAACATTGAAGATAATCAATTTTCTGTGAATCACGCCATATATAAGGTGTTTTAACATTTAATATCAAGATTTTTAAGAGCATATTCGTTATGTTGAAATAAGACTTTTGTTTCCTATAAATATGGATTCGCAAATCCTTCGTAACCGATCTAAGTGTTAAAGTTTATTTTAATCAATTTTAATGATTACAATCAATTAAAATTAACTTTAAAATAATACCAAATTTGACGTGACATGAAACCAAAAAGTTCCACTTTTTCCCCTATGTTTCGTCGAAAATTTTAAATAGCGAAAACCAAAAAATTATTTATTTTTTTTCTAAAATTGTGCAAAATCCGAATAAATCATAAAAAACAAATAGGTTTCTAAGAAAAAAGTAACACAGAATGGAATACAAAATGAACGCAATTTTAGAATCCACATGACATTCCTAAGAATAATACCTCCCTGTATAGCGTGGCCCAGATATAGTAAGTTCTACGAAAACATTTTTCTTGTATGGCGTTGAACTTCTTAGGTATATGGTATTTATGTATACAGGGTATTCCGTTTTTTTTGACCCGATGCAAAATTGCTTTGCATGGAACACCCTGTATATTTACACACATTAGAGTTTAGAGACGAATTCGACGTCCATCTGTTACTCCACGTTTTGTATATAAACAGCAACATATGAATTTCATTTTTAATTTTATGTTATTATATTACTAATTTTATTTTATTATTATTTGTTTATTATTAATTTTATTCTGCCTTATAGTAGGAAATAAAATGTTTAGGTGAGCACATAATAACAATAATAAATACCCCAAATATCCGATTGAACAACTAATTGGCCTCATTTTATTGCCCAAAATCATAAACAGAAAACTAGTGCCTATACTTTGTTTATTATTATTTTAATAACCAAGCAAATAATTGAGACAATAAGTAAAAAATTTTCACAACCGATGGTTATTGTTGTTGTCTTAAAGCTATCCAATTTATAAGTGGTTAAAGTTGTTTTTAATTCTCAATTTATTATTAATTATTATTAATTATAATTCAATTTATTGGGTATACAGGTACTGAAAATATTCTCCCTACGACGGTGTTCGTTTGAGTTAAAGATTTTTAGTATTGTTGAAAAAATAGGAAAGTTTGCACCTGATCAAAACTAAAACTTAATTACCATGTATACCTAAAAACCACATGCTTAAGAAGTTTAAGTGTGTATCCGAATGAGCGACTTGGAGCTATGGCATCTATCAAATGAAATTTTCGTTTTCCATATAAAACAAACAAAAACAACAACTTGATAATGATTATTAAACCTTTTATTTTGCGTTTCCGTCATTAGTCAATGTTCATTTCCCAGGTATATATAAAGAGCTAACATCGAAAACCAAGGTGGCATCGTAGCCCTGATATATGAGAAGATGTCACCACTCTAATTCTAATTTGGAAGGAAAAAAAATTAAAAGCTTAGAGCTTGGAAATCTGTAAAACGATTATAAGGAAAAGGTCTTTTTTCAGTATGAAAAATATGTCTCCAAAATCTCAAATTTTATTCGAGTTGTCGACTAACGAAAATTTAAATCTCTCGGACGTTTTCCACATTTAACACAACATACTACATAAACGGTTGTTCTTTATAGTAACATACAGATTAGATCTTAGTCCGGACTTTTACTCGACGACGAATGAGATCAAGCAATCGAAAACACTTTCACGGGAAACCCCAAACGGATCGGTATAAAAAACATCACATAAATCTCCGCCAATCTCTGGCGAAACAATAATATCTCCGAATCGATTTAAACGCCTGAACGTTTCTAGCGAAGATAACGCTACGTGCATGGCCGAAAAAGTAGCAGCATCATCAGGCTGATGATGATCGTCGGCTGGGAGTAGCTGGTAAGCGTACTATGGCCGTGGTGCATCGCGGCTGGGTACTCTCCTGTAACAATATAACTGCATAAGTTCATTTCAGACATGTTTAGTTATAAAACAAAAAATCAATGGTATTAAGGTGTTTTCAGGAAAAAGGAAGGTACTAGTAATCGGAAATTTTGGAAGCAATGCACAGTTAAAAGGTTTGCTAACGCTTCAGTCGTGCCATACATGAACTTATGGATAAAGCAAGCTACCACTCAAGATCATCTTGGAGGCAACATGAAATTATGGAATGATAAAAGCACCAGCAATATTGAATGTGAAGAAAGTTTGATAAAAAAGGAATTATTACGTATAGCAATTATATACAGACATCGTTTTATGAAATACGTCGTGGCAGATATATCAAAAAACATAGTGCAGCGCACACCGCCATATATCACTGCTACGCAACGCCCATAGAACTTGTATAGGAGTAAGTGAAAGAACTTGTAGCAAGACGCAACTAACCAGAACTTAGGAGTCTTTCTTCTTCTTTCAAATTATGTCATAGATATGAAGATTTTAATGCTCTGAATATGTCCCCGTTGGACAATATTTTCTATGACGACTAGATTTTTCGATATATTTTTTTAAAATATCATAAATTTAGGTTTGTTTTTTAATTCATTTTATGCGTTAACGCCTGAAACAGTGTATATGCGCAGTATTCGCTGTTTCTTTACAACAGTTGTCTATTAATTTTTTACGTTCTGTATCAAATATTTTGTTTTGCATAAAATTCTCTATATATATTTTTTAAAGTATTTTATGTGTAGTTCATGTACTTTTTATGAAGAGAAGCAATACATAAAAAATAGCAAGTTGGACATTTTTCTAAAATAAATTTTATTTAATTTTACGTTATAGAATGCCGCGGACTTGTAAGAATTCTACAGACTGTTTTTGCTACATTTGTGGTGAGTTTACTCTAAAAATGTAGCGAAATGCCATAACCGACCTTGTTAAAACAGCGTAACAGCTTTATTTTGGATTTTCTATTGATATTGATGAGATAAAATTGCTATAACAGTTGCTCAAGAACGTTGAGAGGTTGGCTTGAAGGTAATCACTAATCAATGTCGTTTACAATGCCAATGCTTTGAAGTAAACGTCAGAATCATGCAAATGTTATTTCTGCATGACATCAATACGAGGATTCTCTAAAAAAAAAGATTATATATTCGAACATCGCATCTGTAGAGAGACCAATTCCTCCTGGTGAAGGCACTTTACCTGCAGTCTCACCAAAAAATTACGAAAAGGTGGAAAATAAAAATACTTCAGGTCTACAGGCTGAATTGTGTTTTATTTCTGTCTGTACATCTTCACTTTCACACACTTTATCTGGATCTTCAAATCTGTCAAAAGAACCTCATTTATTAAACAATGGAAAACATAGGACTATCAAAATCTAAAATACAATTACTCGGATCAAGATTAAAACAGTGGAATTTGTTGGATAACAGTACAAGGGTCTCATATATTGGAACAAGACAAGAAGACTTCACGAGTTACTTTTCGAAAGAAGATGATTTGGTATATTGTAATGATGCGGTCGGGCATCTCCAAGAACTTAGTTTTCCAGAAAATTCTAATGAATGGTGACTTTTTATTGATGCCTCAAAGATAGTCGTAATAAATACGCATCAGTACCTGTTGCACATGCAACAAACATGAAAGAAAATTATGTAAATCTGGAAGTATTACAAGAAAAAATAAAATATTCTCAATACCTATGCAATTTGTGGTGATTTAAAAGTTGTCGCTATACTTACTCTATTACAGGGAGGATACACCAAGTTCTGTTGTTTCCTATGCGAGTGGGACAGCCTCGGAAGAGAAAAATATTCCAAAGTCAAAACTTGGAATGAAAGAAAAAGCCTGACTCCTGGACTCAAAAACATATTCATAAACTTTGGTGCCAAGTGACAAAATTTTCCTGCCACCACTTCACATAAAGTTGGGATTCATGAAAAACCTTGTGAAAGCTATGAACAACAATATCTCAAAATTTAAAACAGGAATTTTGTAAATCCGCAAATTAGCGAGCTCATAACGGATGGAGCTTTTAATGCGAAATTGAACAAGAGAGCTCGGGTGGTTTCTGTAAATGTATGTCATAATTTCTTTGGGAATACTAAAGCTGACAACTACTGACAAATCATTGGAGAGCTTCTTTCTGCTTATAAAGTTTTAAGATGCAATATGCCACTTAACATTCTTTTTTTGGACTCCCATCTAGATTTCTTTCCTGAAAATCTTTGTGCCATATCAGACGAGTATAGTGAGAGATTTCATCAAGTTATTATGCATCTTGAAAAATGCTACAATGGGAAATGGTCACCAGAAACCGTGGGAATTCTCACTTGTCTTATTTACTATACAAGTCCAATGGTAAACTGAAAGTACTTCACATGTATAAAGATTACTTATTTACTGAGATTAGATTCAAATTGTGTGATACTCTCATCTTCTTTCTACTGGGATATGCGGACGTTAAATACTGGCCGGCTCTAAGACGGAAAGACCAATACAGCTCACAAAAATTTCAAAATGCCTGCCTAAAATTCAGCTATGGTGTGTGTAAATTTGATCACATAACGCCGGCACTCCACGATTCTGAGTGGTTAGTGTATAAAAGTGCTAGGTAGACTGGTCAGGTGCAGTGATATACATAACTTGCCTCGTCACTATGACCAATTCTATGTTCCCGAGCAAAGTATTACTGCGTTTCAGAGCTCTTCCACATTAAAACTTAAAACACACATCCTCTGGATATTATTGTTTGTTCATCAAATTTTAAATTCAAAAAGAAATTAAAAGAGTTGGTGAGACTAAGGAGGCGCTTAATTTCTTTAATTTTATTTAATCCTACAGACAGACGCAGCTGTCCAATCAAAGAAAAGCCAAATCAAATTAAAAGCTAATTACAGCTTTTTATTACAATGTGTTGATTTTTATACCATCTCAAGTGTCATTTAATTCGAAGCTCAGAGCAAATAGGTCAAGATCCGTAAACGCGTTCTCTACCCTGTTATAAATAAGTAAGTAAGGAGTAAGTACTTTGTAAAAAGCATTGGCCAACATCATACAGGAAAATGGAAAACAATAAGAGGCCCAAATGCTATCCCCGAGGTTCTACCGAAGTTATATTTGTAGTCTTCGATTTTATCCCATTTGCAACAACATACTCAGATCGTCCAACTCTTATGATCAAAACACTGTGTACACCGAAATTCTCCAGTTTCATGGCAAGAGGTTGGTGGTGTATTTTATCAAAAAGGATTTTCCAAAGTCCAGAATATTTACCAGTTAAGATGGATGGATTGTATAGCAAAAAGTGCGGCTCACAGAGATCGGGGCATGATTTTCAAAATATCGTCTGGACCAGGTCCGTTTTGTGGATTAACAGAGCATAAAGATTGCTTTACGTATTCTTTCGACATATGATCAATATTTAAACATCCTTAGGATGCAATTAGTTTCAGAAATATTATTAAAGATGCTTGAAAAAAGTTCACTAATGCTATGGTTGTTCTTTCGTTTATTTTTTTTTTAAACGTTTTTTACAGTGTTTCTTATTTTTATTTTCTTAGGAATGTAACATTTTATATTCCTCTGATTTTGAGGTGAGAGTTGCTATTTATATTTGTTAGTTTTTTTTTATATTCTTATTTTGTTTTTGTTGAATTATTTTATTACTTCAGTTGGTTTAATCCTATGTTGTATTTTAATAAATTATTATTAATAATATATTATTATTTAACCGATTCCTCAGTGATGGCTGGATGTGGCTCCTTCCCTGTTTCGGCATTGGCTGCGAGAAGACAGGTGGGTAAGTTTTAGGTTATTTTGAACATGTTTAGATGTTTAGTTGTTGGGGTCGTTAAGTAGGCGTGTGACAATTCCGCTGGTTTCAATGAGAGTTATTTTTTGTAGTTGGTAGCATATCTGTTCTCTAATGTTGAGCTTTTTTAGGTTTGCGATCAATGCGTGTGGTATTTCTCCGGTTGCGCCTATAATAATTGGTACTACAACGACTCTTTCTTGGTTTCACATCTCTTTTATTTCATTTTCCTTCATTATGTATTTTTTATAATTTCTTGTTGCAATAACCTGGTCTTGTATTGCAATTACAAATGCTTCGGTTTCGGGGAACAAGTATCCTTGTTTTAGCCAATTCAGGGATGCGTTTTTGTTAATATGCGGTTGCATCAATGATGCCGGATAACGGCCATGGAGTTCCTTTGCTCTCCACTTCTCTTCGAGGTTGTCTTCACCTGGTTCATCTCTTGTGTCTTGTGCTAGGTTTAGTGGTGTCAATTTTCTATCAATTTTCCTTAGAGTTTTGTATATTTGGCTGTTTGTGCTGTTGTCGTTGAAGTATTTTTTGAGAGCACTGATTTGTTTCTGGTGGTGTGTCGGTATGTGCACGATACCTTGGCCCCCTCTTTCACGTGGGATGTTTACTCTTTCGACTGAGCTGCGCGGGTGATGTTTACGGAATTTAGTGCTCATGGTACGAACGTCGCGATTAAGTTCTTCAAGTTCAGTACCTGTCCATGCAATCACTCCAAAGCTGTACGTCAGGATGGATATGGCGTATGTGTTTATTGCCTTTGTTGTGTTTTTGGTATTTAGTCTCATTTTAAGAACTGCCCGTAGTCTTTCTCTGAATTTCTTTTTCAGTATTTCTTTGCTGTTTTTCTGATATATTACTCTAGATTGTTGATACCCTAAATATTTATACAGTTCTTCGATTTCCATACCTACTATCTGTCCTTCGTCTGCACCCATGTCATGCCTCTTCCATTTTCCCCTTTCCATCGCATTTATTCGGCACTTGTCTAACCCAAATTCCATATGAATGTCCATCGCTAAAGGTTCTTGTAGTTTGTATTAATTTTTCAATGTTTTCTTTATTTTCCGCGTATATTTTAAGATCATTCATATAGAGGAGGTGACTAATTTTAATATTTTCTATTGTTGTACCTTTGTTTTATTAAGCATGTGCGAGAGGGG